CCTTCTCCATCACGCCCGGCTATTTTAGGGAACTTCAGTGGCCGTCCCCTTTTCTTTCTCTCTCTAGATCATTAGCTGTCAGGCAGATGTGTCCGCCTTCTGGTCACTCCTGCTAATTAGAGTCCAACAGAGGAAAGGGACGCGACCCCACAGAAAGCCGGAGACATTGAGAAGCCAGGGAAGTGCGTCAGGAGATGAGGGCCTCCGAGGCACAGCCACTTCAGAGCCCTCTGTCCTGTCTGGTGCCTCTCTTCTGAATCTCTGCCGCCCCACGGTGGCCCACATCAGAAATGCAGCCAGGGCGGGCTGCTCCATTAACAGCCCAGACAGCCCCAGCCACCATTTCCTGAGGGTTCTCTGCATGCCCAGCGCCGGGCTGAACACTTTTATATCTGTTGTTAATTTGCCTGGCAACCTTAGGTAGAGTTATTCTGCATGTTCAGACGAGAAGAGATGAAGCCCAAAGAGGGTTCAAGTCACTTGCTCAAGGTCACACAGCCACCGAGCAGCAGAGTCAGGGAAAGGATGTGCCCATGGCTGTCATTTCTTAGGATTCTGGCTCTGCTACAGCCTCCCCTGAAGAAATCAGACACAGCAAATGACAAGAGGGTGGCTCTGTATGGCGGATTGAYTCATGTATATAAAGTGAAGATGCTGAGTTAGTTAACCACCACAGCCAATTAGAAAATCACAACCAGGCACCCAAAAAGGAAGCCACCATAATGCCAGGGAAGAATTTCAATCTGAGGCAGAGCAAAGTCAGGTGCAAATGCCTAGCTCCAGCTGTGCCGACGGGGACATGTTCCTCCATGTAACGGAGGTTTGGTTTCCTCATCCRTAAAATGGAGACTAATGGTATCTACCTCTTAAGGTTGCTATTTTGCCCTTGGGAAATGTGAAATTTCCCAAACTGTTCTTTGGAAGGTTTGTTTTCCATGAAGTAATTGTGTAAAAGACAAAGTTAAATGCAGTTACACAGAGAACGTTCTCAAAGTCTTGATGATGCTAATGTGTGGATAAATTTTCAGGAACAGACAGATTTTCCTGACCCCAGTATCTTTTTCGCTTTGGAAGCTAATAAGCTTCTGTTTGAGGGGGACTCTTCAGAAAAGGCTGTAAAACAGGTCAGAGGGTATTTGGTGTTTGAAATGGGGACTAGTAAATGCTAATCCCTTTTTCCTTTATGCCCAGATTGCTCAAGTGACCTTCCCTGGTTTTGCTGGCTTTTTGCTCCAGGGAGTTAGGGACTGGGTCTTGCTAGTTCCTTTCTGAATTCCATTTTCTTTACATAGCAAACATTTAATGAATGAGTGAGTCAACGTGGGAATAGATGAATGCTGCTTAGTGTAGCTCCTGCCTGTTCATCTTCTACCGCTTTCTCTGCTGTACTCCGTGGGGCTCAGGGGAGAATACAAATGCTCCTGGGAAACTCAGCAATGGGGCTGGTTCTCACTGATTTCCCTTCTCAGTTTTCACCTGTGTGAACAACCGGATCTCCTGACAGAACTCGGTGCTGCAACCCCTGACCAGTCTGCTTTGCTGCTTCTCTGGGAAGCTGTGGGATGTTTCATTTGCATACGTGTTTTGAGCAAGACATTTCTGAGCTGTCCCAGTAGGTCTGACCTGGATCTGAAAAACTCTTGGGCTTTCCCAGGGGATAAAAGTAAAGCAGCTCATTAGAGCCTAAATACAATGCAGAGAACACAGTTTCCCCTGGGTATCTATCAGTAAACCATGATGGGGTGGACCAGTGGCCAGTGGTGACGGGATGGTGTGCTTTATATTCATTTAGAGCAGGATTTCCTACTGGTGTTCTCTGGGTATTATGCAAAAAACACAAATATGTTTCTGCTAAAAAGCAGGAGCTGACAATTCATAATAGCTAAGTTATGGAACTAATCTAGATGCCCTTCAATAGATGAATGGATTAAAAAAGGTGGTCTATATATGCAATGGAATATTACTCAGCCATAAAAAAACAATGAAGGTATAGCATTTGCTGGTAAAAGGATGGAACTGCATACTATCCTGCTAAGTGAAATAAGCCAATCCCCCCAAAACAAAGGCCAAATATTCTAATATGTGGATACTAATCCATAATAAGGTGGGGGAGATAGCAGCTCATTGGATTATAGAAAGGGGAACAAAAGGAAGGGAGGGGGATGGGAACAGAAAAGACAGTGGAATGAATGGGACAGAAMTTTCCYRTGTTYMTMTATGAACACACGACCAGGGAAACTCCACATCGTGTCCAGCCACAAGAATGGGATCCTAATTAGAATAAGTTAGTCTCCATGTTATTTGTAGTATGCCAAAATACACTACTGTCACGCAGGTCTAAAAAGGACAAATAAAWTTTTTTTAAAAAACAGAGCCGAGTTGGTCAGAATCTAACAGGCTTCTTCCTTCTGGCAGAACTTCTCAGAGACTGTGCATTTCAGCATGGCATGTCCCCAGTATCTCTGACGGTTCCTCTGGGGCCCCTCTGGAGGCCTGTCCTCTGGAACAGCTGCCCAGTGCTGCTGCTCAGCAGGGCACCCTTGGACACCTCCTGCCTCAGGACACACAGCCAGATGTCTCCGCCCACTCTTCACAGTCTAGGGATTGTGGGAAAGAGTAGAGGAGGCTGTGGTGAGCTGCTGGTCAAGCAGGGATTCGAACGCACAGCCCCGAGCCGCATGGATTTTCTAAGGTGTTTCATAAGAAGATTCGACATAGCCAGATGAGGTGTTGCACTTTTTGTCATCCCAGAAACTTGGGAGGCCGAGGCAGAGGAGGATCTCAAGTTCAAGGCCAGCCATGGCAAATTAACCAAACCCAGTCTCAAAATT